CTAAAAGAACACAAGGATAGACTACATTCTTCATTAAGAATAACAAAATGAATTCTAAAAAAAATTAATCAGGTCCACTAAAGCAAATTCAGATCACTTTGACAAAGTATTAAATCCTAGTTTTTTCTTTGTGAAAAACATTTATGAAAATAGTGGACAAGCAAAGAAAGAAAAAGAAAAAGTCACGTGGATCGTAGGGATGGATCTAATTGAATTTAACATAAGTTTTATTTACTTGTTCAAAAAAATATCTACTAGCTTTTTCTTTTTGGCAAGAGATTGTGTGGTGAAAAATGCACATAACATATGTCTATGATTACAATATGTAAGAATGAACTAAGTCAGCAGAACAGAACACCAACCTATACTATCTTTTATTCATTCAAGATCTCTCTCTCTCTCTCTCTCTCTCTCCTCTCTCTCTCTCTCTCTCTCTCATCTCCTCTCTCTCATCTACTCTCTCTCTCTCTCTCTCTCTCTCTCTCTCTCTCTCTCTCTCTCTCTCTCTCTCTCTCTCTCTCTCTCTCTCTTCTCTCTCTCTCTTCTCTCTCTCTCTCTCTCTCTCTCTCTCTCTCTCTCTCTCTCTCTCTCTCTCTCTCTCTCTCTCTATATATATATATATATATATATATATATAATATATATATATATATATATATATATATATATATATATATATATATATATATATATATATATATATATAATATATATATATATATATATATATATATATATATATATATATATATATATATATATATATATATATATATATATATATATATATATATATATATATATATATATATATATATATATATATATATATATATATATATATATATATATATATAAAATAGATTATTCCGTTAGAATAAACAAATTCATAATTTTCACAAACCTTAAATCAAGAGTGTTATTTCTTTCACAAACGCCTTTTCACTTCAGTCAAGTTCGAAGAAAACTTTATAGAGTTCTGAATTCATGATTTATATTTAAGAGTTGTGTGGAATTCTTCTTCTAACCAATCATTTTCAAACTTAAGTTGAAAAACTCATTGTTGCGATATTCAACTTTAACTGCGTGTGGGTTTACGTGCATGCGTGCGTGTGCGGATATTCGCGCGCGTGTGTCCGTGTGAAACATATCCCATGGTTGTTAAAAAAAACTGCGATAAAATGCTAGTACTATTCATAGTATATTCTGATAGTAATTATGGGAATAAGTATTTTAATTTTAATGTATTTATAAGAATGTACGGATAAGTCTTTTTTTTAAAGAATTTGCATACTGAAAGTGGGCGATGATAACCCTAAATTTCCATCCTTAATCCAGAACATAAACCAAGAATATATACACTTCTGATGAAGGCACTAAGGCCTTTTAGCACTAAAAGAAAAGGAAAATAATTTTTTTTGAAATTAATTTTGCATATATTTTTAAAACTTATGAATCACACCTCATTTGATAAATTTATATTTTAATGTATTGATTGTAAATTTTCTTTGAAAAAGTTCGTCTCCACTTGAAAATTTTGCATATATCTTTACTGAAAAAAGAAAAATATTTAAGTCCGAAGTAAAATATTTAAGAACTTAAAGTAACTAAAGTAAAATCGTAATATACTATTTAAAATTATAGCTTTTTATCTTCTAGAGAGGAAATCTAGTTGTGCAAATTTGAAACACATTCCAAGTAATGTTGATATCATGTTTCGTGACATACTTTATACGACAGATTGTAATATAGTTTTTTATTTACAAAAATATAAGATTGTGATCTTACACAAAAAGTGTCATTATTTGCATATTGTTAAAGAATATTGCTACTTTCCTCGAAATATTCTAAACTATAATGATAGCTGCTTTACACTTGCATTAATATAAACTTTTTATAGGGAGTGGAAATATAATAGTTGATTAAAAAATAAATGGTTAACATTTGTATGTATGTCTTTCAAGTTTCAACTGAACACTTGATGGATTTCATCTTTAATAAATCCTTTGATTAAGTGTCGTATTTAAAAGTTAAAAGATAAATCCTTTGATCAAATACAGAAAAGTGAAAAAGAGAATGTGTGATTTCAATACCTAGTCAGACATCACAATAAAATGAAAACTACAAAGTGTGAAGTAAACTGATAAAAAAAGAACTATAGTATTCCTACTTGTAATTAATTTATATTATCTTCTTCCAAAATCTTGTGTTTCAATCTTTCTTTTTATCTTTTAAAATTGAATAATTTACTTGGCTTTGTAGGGTTTTCTTTTTCTTCATTGGTTTGATATTTATCTTTTAGGTCTTGTTTTTTTTCAACCACAAAAGCAATTATTGGAATTTTTCGAAAATTTAGACCGTCATAAATTTCATTACAAATCAAATTAATGTCTTTTATTTTCAATGTGTTGTATATTTTAAAATACTTTTGTTTTTATATTTTTTGTTGTTGTTGATGAGAATTTAGTGATACGTGATCTTCACAAAAGGACATTTGTTTGTTTTAATAAGAAATATGATTTGTCGGCTATGGACTAACACATACTTTAAATAATATGGTGTATTTTTAAATGAGGAAAACTCTCTTTAGTATAGGAAAAAATCTAGCTAAAAAATATGGTTTAAAAAAATAATAATTCATGGATATTTTTAATGTGTTCATCGATTAAGACCATGTATAAGTACTAGAAATACTCTATTTTCCTGCGGATTTTGACCAAATTTCCGCAGGAAACGTATTACCTGCTATTTTCTGTTCCCAACTAAAACCTTCGTAGGTAATTATTATAGCAGGTGAAGTCACAGGAAATTGTCACAGGAAAATGTCGCAGGAAAAAATCGCAGGTAAAATAGATAAACTCACAGATAGAGTACGCAGGTAAATGAAGTTTTCGCAGGAAATGTCGCAGCAAACTAAAAATCCGCAGGTAAACTCGCAAGTAATTTCTCTCTCGTGTTTTTAGTTTTTGGTGTTAATTTTGTTTAATTTATATTTAAAATATTATAAGTATTGTTAAATATAATAATATAAAAACAAATATCTAATTTGAATAAGACAATAACACTAATCACATTCAAATTTGTAAAGCAACCAAACATAACTATAAAGTCAATAACAATACTTCTAGAGTTTTATTATTAAAAATGACACAATCAAGTTACTAATAATCACTTGTTCAACCAAATTAATAAGAAAAAACAATGCAAATTTCAAACTAGCTAACAAGCAAAATTCACAGCTAATGTGTTCACTAATGTCTTCATCTGATTCATCAACATCATCTTCTAAGCTGTCCTAGGCACAAAACTATCAACTCTAGGCGGAATTGTCACTTCAAGTGTCGAGAAAGGTCCGTCATATGTAATTAAATTGTCCTCATCAGGAAAAGTAAAACCACAGCTAGAACTGGAACAGTCTTCTAAGCTGGTATTGGAAGACTTAAGTTCTGAATCCTGTTGAATTTGGACATCTTGGATCAATGGAGGTTCGAGATACACACAAGACTCCCAAAACTCATCACTCTTTGCAAATTTTGTAGGAGATACACACAAGTCTTTCCCATTGCTGTCTCCACTTGAAGAAGATAGTGCCTGAAAAGGATACATTAATCACTAAGTTTTTTCATAACCTAAAATCTAAATGTGAGACTAGTAATATGGTATATTGATATTCTTCAAATTTACCTCTAAGCCATCATTTGTGCCTCCCACTAAGATATAAGCATACAATTTATATACTCAGTTTGATTTTTTTACTAAAATGAAAGCCATGAATTTCAAAGCCTTGCCTCAAAATATCTAACTCAACATTTATTTCTTCTCTTGACCATCCACAAATATATAATTTGCAAAATAATGTTCAGTAGCAGCACCGTCTCTTGAAGATGCTCAGTAAGCACATGAAGAAACAAATTGAAAATATACAGGCTACCATTGGTGTAAACCTATTGTATGAAATATTGTATGGCTCACATTATGTTCTCTCACAAACTCTTTTATCTACAGTCTTCCACAAAATATCTCTAGGGGTCCTATGATACAACTTTTCCAAATCAACAAAAACATGTAAATATTCTTTACTGCCACGATATCTCCGATAGTCTTTGCAGGTCTGTTCTACTTAGCTAACTTGAGAAGCTTCCACTATACTAAATGGTCTCTAGACCATTTTCCTGCAATAATATCCAACTCACTTTCTTAATCCATTATCCATCATACTTCCATTCAGTACTTGCTAAGACCTGGTTAACTTACACCAGTAAACTTGAATTTAACATAGGTTGATTACTTTTCTACCACTTATTAACTAGTAAACCTGTCAAAAATATCAATTCTATATACCATAAAATAATACAATTTCTGTAAAGATGCTATGTAAGAGATAGATGGTGGCACCATCATATTGATTCTACCTTTTTAAAGTAGAAAGCTTGGATAGAAGATTAACTAAAGCATTCCCAGATACAGGGTTGTTGTGTCCTGCCAATGGTAAAATACCCATTATGCAAGAAAGATCACTTGTATCAAGGAATTAAAGAGAGCTGTAGATTTATCATACCTATACAAAGGTGTGAAAGTACAGAGCTAGAGTCCAATGCATCAGCAATTTTTTGAATGGTTCTAGATGTGATACAGTAGTTCTCTACATTCAAGCTACAGAGAGCTATGCAAAAAGATGTAAGTAAACTAAAGTCAAAAGATACCGACAGCGGGAATCCACATACAATTACAACCATATTTGAAAGACTATAAGTGTACCATAACTTAAATTTGATAAATACATTTTCACAGCTTAAAATGAGAACCATGCATACTAGAAAAGAGAGAAGGGAAGTAATAGAAACCATATTCCTGGTGGCAGAGATTCAACCGATTAGCAATTCCACCTCATATTGCTGAATGTTGCGACAGGTGCGCTAGTATGGCCAGAATGACAGTAGAAAAATAATGATAACAGTAAAATCTAACCGATTAGCAATAATCATAACAAGAAATTGAAATTAAGCACATCCACAAGAACTATCAACGACGACGGAATCTTCGTCGTCGCTCCTGAACAACAAATAACCAACCGCAAGACCAACCACAATAGCTATAAGCACGCCATCATTATACGACATAACAGACAACATCAAGAAATACCCGATCGCCGAGCTTAACCCGAACAGAACCGCTCCGGCGACTCTCACGCCTAATTTAGCTCCACTTCCGGCGAACGTCCGTCGAAGAAGAGGCGCCTCGATCTGTGCCGGAAACGACTTTTCGGAGGTTACAAAATACAGAATCATAAATCAAAACATAAATTTCTGAAGCTGCTTCCAAAGCAGCATATCAATTCCTACTTACGAATTTCAGTTCTTCTTCACAGTGGCGGAGTTGATGATGTCAACGAACTCCGGCTTCAAGGAAGCACCACCAACCAAAAATCCATCAATGTCAGGCTGTGATGCCAATTCTTTGTTGTTTCCTCCATTTACAGAGCCTGCAGTTTTAGATGGAGTTAATTAAATAACAATTGCTACAATGCCTCCAAATTCACACCAAGACTGTTAATATTCTTTGATGACATCAAAATAACCGCATATATAAACGGAAGTACCTCCATAGATGATTCTTAGACAGGCGGCAACTTCAGCACCCACGTTGTCGTGAACCCATTTCCTTAAAGCAACATGGACCTAGGCCAAATCTTAATAACATTATCAAGACAACATAATCTATAAGTTACTTCAAAAACAAAAAAAAAAGAGATTGAGCAACCAGATAGCAGCACTCCACTCACCCAAAATAGAACAAGCCAAAACAACTTTTACCATTGTCACAGCATCACCCTTCATATTATCCATCCTCATTGCTTCAAAAGCATCCAAAACCTCTATATACCTCTTACACCGACCATACCCACAAATCAAAGAATTCCAAGAAACCAAATCCCGTTCAGACATTTCATCAAACACCTTCTGCGCAAAACCCAATTCACCAAATCCCGAATACCCAGTAAGTATAGTACTAATAGTAGTTTAATCAAATGCTACCACCCAACTTATAAATTATAATGAATCAAAATAATCATGCATTATTAATATATATAGATACTTGGAGTATATGAATGAAGTGGAGTGAAACCAATTCCTCTAGAAATATGGCTTCTTCCTTACTTTGTTCCTTTCCATCCAGGCAAGATTCTTCTCATTAATTATATCATATATATGTACTATATCTATACTATTTAACTATATCTTCTCAGTTGGCATAAATAACGAAATGAATTACACAATGACATGTGATAATAGAGTTATCATCAAGCATGACACATGAAAAAAGTTCAGACCCACCAAAACAAAATCCTAAGTTTCTAACCACACGAAAACTTAAGAAAGTGACAAAAAGCCAAGTTTCTAACCACAAGAAAACTTAAGAAATTGTTAACATACCAAATGGAAATAGAATCCAATGCAACTGTTGGATTAGAAAGCAACCCTGATATGAGTACTAGTCCTTGATTGTACCATATCTCCAAACTACAAAAACATACATTTCATATTTTTAAAATATATAAAATCGATAGGATCGTGTTCGACCACACATCTTAAACATATGCTCAGAGCTACGACGAGTGAAACTAAGGATATAGTCATACCATAACATGACAGTAGAAGCAACTGTTAGCTTGAAGTAAGGCCGGATTCTAACGAATGCTCTCTTAGTGAAACCCATCCATGTTTCGTGTCTTTAAATCTTTGAAAAACTCTCTGCATTGCTAATGAAAGAGCTGCAAGAGCACCAATAGACCATAATTTCAGGTATTGTTGGGCTAAGGAGTTTCCATCAAACATGTAGAGTGCATCAAAGTAAAACACTATGAGACATTTCATCAAACATTTAGAGTGTGATAAAGGAATTTTAGAAAACATATTAAAAACACTATGAGACATTTCTTCAAACATTTAGAGTGCACCAAAGTAAAAGGCTTCAATTCTATTAGTAACAAATACAACAAAAAAGAAGAATCTGTGAAGTGTGGACAAGATAAACATACGAAATTAAGAATGAGAGGACAGTCATTGTTGTTGTAAACGTGAATTTTCATTTGGCAGAAATTTGAGAAGTGGTGAATCTCATATTCATTTCATATGAGATTAATCGTTTTTCCTTTTACATGATAAACTGGCGTCTTGGTTTGGTTTCAGTTTAGGGCTTACAAATTTGTGGTTGATGATTCAAAAAGAGCTTCAGCTTTTGAAATTGAGACAGAGGATTAGGGATTGGATGTTCGGAACAAGTTGATTTGTATAATTTTTTGGAACAATTGGATTTTTTTGGAAGTTTGGGGAAGAATGAATCAGTGAGAGGTTGAGTTTTTTTATTAGATTTGTTTTTAGTTTTGTGATAATATAAAGTGGCATTATTTTTTTTAATAAGATATTTTTTTAATCAACATTTTTAAATCAGTATGTATAGTAATTTCTAAAATTTCGTTTGAAACATGTGGTTTTCAAAGAAAAATTTGCGACGATTACTAGAAACTGTCACATGAACGGCCTCAAAACACACATTCGGACAATTGAAATCCAACCGTCGTAATTTAAGTGTCATAATCTAAGTATTTTTTTTATAGAAATTACTCCAAAATTTTAGGATGGTAAATCAGTATTTTTATTTTATTTTATCATCTTTTAAATTGTAAAATTGAATTACAAATTAATAAATTGATCTCTAGCATAATAATCTAGTTATTTCACCAAAATATTTAATACACAAAATGAACAAAAAGATTATATATAGTATAAAATAATATAAAAATATATGTTATCAATTGAATAAAAGGATTATTTTATTGTCTTTTTAAATTTTTAAATTTAAAAAAAATTATAAGTTGAAGGATTACACATCAATTGTATCATAAACTTATATTTTTAATTTTTCTAATTTTTACAACAAAAAAAAAATTAAATAAATAAATCTTCTTTAAGAAATAAATAAAAAAACTCAATTAATACTATAAAACTCTCTTAAGAAAAATAAAGATTTAATATAAAATTAAAAAATATCACAACAACATATTCTTAGAATCAATATGTGCTTTATGATTTTATTTATTAATCGTAAAAATATAATAAAAATTAAAAATAAACTAAACAATTCGCAGCAAAAGTCGCAGAAAGAATTACAGCAAATTCCGTAGCAACTCTCGCAGCAATATCTGAGGTATTTCGAGAAGAATTTTGTAGTTTCACTCGATAACAAAGTTCCTGCGAAATAATTCGCAGTTAAATCCGCAGGAAATTTGTATTTTATTTTAAAATCTAAAATCGCAGCTAAAGTCTCAGGAATTCCTGCGAAATTTTCTGCTACCGTATTTTTTGCAGGAACTAATGTTTCACAATATAAAGGCGCAGATGAAATCGCAGATATTGCTGCGAAACTATTTCCGCAGGAAAATCCGCAGGTAAGCTGTGTATTTCTAGTAGTATATTATTCGATTAACCAAGTTAAGATAGGACAATTAAAATATCTACGTCACTTAATCAATTATCAGTCATCTTAATTGATTAGGATGTGTTACACTTTGATTTAATTTATTAGAAGAATCTCTTAATCAATTAGATAATGTATTTTACCTTAATAATTGATTAAACAAACTTATAATCATTTAAGCACTTGCCTAGATTGCTTTTTAAGATTATTTATCAAAACAGAAGAGGTTTGAAAACAATTTTTGTGTGTGGTTTAGCATTTTCTTAGTACTTGAACACTTGCCCCATTTACAAATAAACTAATCAAAACTAGATAAAATGCGAAGTGTAAAATCAAACAAACTTTGACACTTTCACATATCCAAGATTATAACTTCACATTTACAACTTCAAGCCCTCGAAATCCTTTGCTTGATTTAACATGTTCTTGCATTTTCAACTAAAACTTAAAACATTTAACTGATGAGGTTTGTAATATTTATTTCTTATTCATATGTCATCATTAGGAACCTTTAAGAAAGTTGTCGTGATCAAAACTATTTGACAGTTTTCTTCAACACCAAAGATCTTGTTAGGACCTTGGACTAGTTGTCATGACCAACAGTTGCCATTATCAAAACTATTTTTCAAAATTACCTTCACAACATACAGAACGGAAGATCTTGTTAGGACCTTGGAGTTGCTAGATGTTGTGTTAGAATCCTTCACTAGAAGATTGGAAAGGTGGTGGAAAAGGAGGTTGATGTGGTGGGTGAAGTGAACGTTTGTGTGGTAACAATTAAAGATTTAGATATTCTTGACCAATCAGATTAGAAGTTGGAATATGATGGAAAGAAGAAGTTAATTAAGTGATTAGGATCGAAGCATGTACATAATGGTGCTAAGGTGGTTCTTTTGTTGTAAAAGTGAGGTCTAGTGTGATGGTATCTTGAAGCATTTGGATTGTCGATCAGACATTATATTGACCACGTGACTTCAAAAGAAAAAGAAGAGGTACATTGTGGTATATGAATTTTGAAAACTTTTTACAAAAAGATTGATCTTAACTTGGCCAATTTTAAGAAAATAGATGAAGTGGAGATTTAAGCATGGAAGATAAAAGATAAGAAAGTAAAATAGAAGATTTAGAAAAGTGTACACCATAATTTTTACTAGTTTGACCTTAAACCATACGACCACTCCAGCCCTAAGAGTCTTCCTTTGAGAGTTCCCCTATCAACTTGATATTTAATCACATGATTAGCCTACAACTTTCTTATACCATAATTTTAGTCAAGTTCGGCTTGCAACTTTTATAACAGTTACAATGTTACAACAATTACACTTTACTTACTTAAGTATTTCCCTTTCTCACCACTAAAATAATGAAAAGTGTATAATATAGTTTCTAAGAAGAGAATGAGTAAGAGATAAGAGTTGAATAAAAAATTTGTTGTCTTGCTAGAACTGAACATAATCCCCCTTTTATATAGAAAAAAATTGACAAAGAAAGGAAACATTTTTAGACCGAATCCACTTTCAAGTCGATTAGACTGTCATTTTAATCGATTAGACTACCACCCTAATCAATTTGGTTGCTTCTTGCTTCCTAGGCGGTTAGACTGTCATTCTAATCAATTATATTGTCGCACTAATCAATTCGACTTAGCAAAAAAATATGAAAGCTTTGTTGGATTTAAATCATAAACAATTAGAAAGCTTACATCATCAATTATTGATAGATTTTGCTCAATAATAAACTATTGAGCATTTTTCTCCATAATTGATTATATATGATCCATAATCGATTGTAGGTCGATATTTAATTATATAACCAATTAAGAAGCATCCATAATGTATTAGACATTGGCCAAAATAATTTTTAAGAAGGTTTTTAAAATAGATGAAGATTTATAAGATATTTAAGTCACTAAAACATTTTTTCTCTTTGATAACAACTGAAATGTGTTGCCACAATTGAGAAAAATGTTGCGTAAAAGAATAGAGGAAATTTTTCAGTTGTCTTCTGCGCGAGCGTTGCGTTTTAATTATGGAAACATTTTTTCTTCTTTTTGGGAACACTTTTTAAAAATGTCCCCTAAACTATATGAACATGGGATGTTTTTCTGTGGCATCTTAGTGTCACACCCTCATCTTCACCCTAGCCTTGCATATCATATATTCATCATTATCGTCATACCATGATTCATATCAAGCATTTGAGTTTGTAAGGATTTCAAGGAAGTTTGTTGCTCCAAATTATCGTATACGGCGTGTTGGTCACCTTTCCTTTTCATTTCTACTGTGATTTAAGGAGTTTCTTTGGGTTTAGAGTTTCAAAGAAGGGTTTCAATCTATTTTTTCTTTAGTTTTTTTGGAGAATATAAGGGTAGATTTGGGTTCGGGATTAGATTTTGATGGGGTTTGGTGTTTGAAAAAAGGTAAAATGAGCTACCTTCGCCGGAGAAGAGGACGGTTTCCTCCGCGGCTCATCTTCTCTGGTGCTTCTCTCTTTTTTTCGGCGGCGCTTATTTCAGAAAGAGTGAGGAGCGTGAGAAATGGGAGGATGCATGGAAAGGTTTTGTTCTTCATAGTGTTTCTTTTTTATTTTTATAATACTTTCATCTACTTTTTTTATTCCTTCTTATCCATTTTGCCTGCGTGTATTTCAAAGGGGGGACATGGCACTGTGAGACGGTGACACTTGTCACCGTCGTTTTTAAGAGATATCATCATCAGCCTCTATCCAGTATGACTTGTCCATGCAGCCTTACCGTGCGCCCTTTGATTTCAGCCATTGGATGGAGTCTGACCTTGACTCCATCAGGATTCAATGCCCATGATCTCTCCCCCAAAGTTAACGCGTGTTGACCAAGACCACACTGGATTTAACTCGCCTAGGCCTGGTTTTTTATTATTAGCACCCCTCTTTTACTATTTCCACCCCTTTTTATTTTATTTCATAACTTTTTTTTTAAAAGCTTTTTTAAATTTTCTTTTTTTCAAATTGCATGAAATTTAGTTTTCTGTCATTTTATTTGATTTATTTTCTGTTTAGATTTTATTTTAACATAGTTTTTGTTCATTTGAATATTTTTGCATTTTCATCTTTTAATTATAAATGTGAATTTAGGTTAGCACGAGTTTTGATTCAAGTTGATTTAACTTTGGATATTTCTTTTTTATTACCCTCATGTTTAATGCTTGGTCATGGTTGTGGTTAATATTTGTGGTGTTCCTTTTGAATTTTCCATACTTCATATCTCATTTCCCCCTTGGTGCGTATTATGTTCCCTCTTCCCCATTATAATGTAAGAAAGATAAATTGAACTAGTCTAGATCACCCTTTCAAAATAAAAGACAAATAAAGCTTGATCTAACGTCAAGTCATTTTTCAAATTCATTAATTTGGATCACCTTAGGGTTTCTTCTCCCTTCTCATTCTTATTTCTATCATCTCTTCCATTAAACCTCATATTAACCTTGTATGTATTTCACCCTTGTAAGTCGAATGCCTTGTGCATCGCCATCAAACTACCTTACTATATTCACCACCCTTTCATTTCATTTCAAATCTTTTCTCCTCTCTTTTTGAGTCAAAAAACCTTGGTCTTGTACCAAGTACATTTTCAAAAAAATTTCTCAATAAACTTGAATGGTTGTGGAGTGGTTAGGTGAAGGCCTTGTCCTATCCCGAGTTCTTGACATTACCTTTAGGGTTCACTGTCGTAAAGCAGTTACCATTCAAAATCAAAACCTCTTAAATAAGATAATAAGGTTCTCTTTGTATTGAACTAAAGAGATAGGATTGGGTGAATACTTCTTCCTTTCCGAGTATTAGGATGCTCACTTTATAGTGTGTGGTTTCGATACTCGTCTTTCAATATGAAGAAGTGACTATATTTGCCACACCATTTTCACAATAAATCTTTTGAGATAAATAATTAGGTACTACCCGCAAGGGGTTACTATTCGAGGACTTATCTCACCCCTAAAATCAACCTTCATAAATCAAATGTGACATCTTGCCTCGAGGGAGAAAACTAACCATTTTCAAAAAGGACATGTTACGTCTGTTCTACCGAAATACAGGTAATGCCTAAGACTCCACGAGCGAGCAGCAATACACCTAACTGCTAGAGCACGAACGTTGGAATCATCCATAAAAAACACTAACAACCTGTAGTCCGAAGTACGGACGCTCTGATTCTTCATTTCTTTTAAGTGAAGATATGTAGGCACAAGGGCCCCAATACTTGGAGAGCACACTTCCATCTTTTTCATCCGTAGTCCTCTGAACTACATTGACTCTGGCCTTCTCATGCCTGTTGAGAATACGTAGGCATAGGACCACGAAGTCCTACCGAGTCTCCTCCCCCTTTCCACGTTCTCTTTTCTCTCAATTTTTGTTTCCCCCCTTTTCTTTTACTTTTTCCCTTATTGTTTTCTTTATCTTTGTTTCTCACCCTTCTCTTTCCCTCTTAGAACACTCTTCTTAGCAATCCCTTAGCAAACATCCTTACACATAGACAAGTGAATGGTTCCCATCGAGTACGATAGATATAGAGGGTGCTAATACCTTCCCTTTGCATAACCGGCTTCCGAATCCTTTCTCTTGGTTGTGAGACCATCTTATCCTTTTCCTTCTTGGGATTTTCTCGATGTTTTCCCTTCCCCTTTTGGGACAAATGAATTTCGATGGTGACTCTTCTATTTTCCTCTTTCGCCTCTTCGTGGTTGCATTTTTTCGAGTTGCGAAACTTAGGCAACGATTTTAAGGTGTTATTAAAAGTCGCAAAAAATAATAATTGTTCCCTAAAAGTGGTTGAGTGAGAATACTCTGCGGGAACGGTTTTCTAATTTTTTTTTCATATCTGTTAATAATTACTAATTGTTCCCTAAAAGTGAAATAGTGAGAACACTTGGTAAATGTTTCTATAAGTTACTTAGGATTTTTTTTACCATATTTTTTGTAAATTAACAATTCAAACAAGGATTTCATCAAACATAAATTTTTTTTTGATAAGTAGAATCTATTAATAAGAGATTAAAGACATCTCAGACCAAAAGAAACAGTTACAAGAAGTCAAAGGGAAATTTGAACCAATCGTACAAACTATACTGCTTGCTCCGCTTCCTACCTAGGATCAACCAATTCCAAGAGGAAAGTTTAATGTCGAAAACAATATTGTCGACCTCAGTAACTACATTATTGAATATATCTTCATTTCTAGACCTCCAAATACTCCAACAGGTAATAAACCAAATTGAATTTATTCTGATCGCTTGACACCGACCACTAAGGCTTGAGTTCCACGCCTTCACGTGAGAGTAGCAGCAAGTTTCAGATATTATCTCTATATCCGCCCATTCGCAAATCTTGTTCCAAACCTGCTTGGATTTAAAGCACGAGAAGAAGAGATGGGATATGTCCTCGAGGCTACTAGAACAAAACACACAATCCAAGTCTTGCTCAGAATCAAACACCCTTCTTTTCAACAAATTAGTTCTAGTTGGCAATCTATCAAGCGCCATTCTCCAACTGAAAGTTTGAACTTTCGCTGGAATAACCGTCTTCCAGAGGGACTCAAGATGGGAGGCACATTCAAAACCAGTATCTTGATCAAAGGAAGAGGGAGTTAGAACTGAATTTAAAGAGCTAACCTTGAAAGACAAAGAATCATGAAGCAGCCACCGCCATTTGTCGGACTCGTCGGGGATAACTAATACATTATCCAGTAATTTACAACAATCAGACCAGTCTGGTTCAGGAGGGGAATTTGAGTCGATCAAAGAATCTCTAATTTTCCAAGTCCACTGCCCTTCCTCCCAGAATCCCATTTCACGAATGGTCGCTGACTTCGTAAAATAACTCTGAAACAGCCCGTTAAATCTGACTTTAAATGGAAGATCACCATTCCAAACTGACTGCCAGAATGCGACGTTGTTACCTTCACCAATGGAGTAGGCCATGAATTTGCAAAAGTTAGCATGAGAATTGAGGGATGCGTTGGTCATAATATCCTTCATCCACAGCAAGTAAGATTTCAAATTATCAACGTCGAAGTAAGTTTGCATCTTGATACTGAGGTTGTCGTATCTATTAGTGAGGGACTTCCTCCAAATTTCGTTGCCGCCAGCTTGGAACCTCCAAATTCATTTTGCCAACAAGGCACTATTGAATCGATCCACATGCTTAATTCCAAGACCTCCATGTTCCTTAGATTTACAAATAGAATTCCAAGAAACCCAAGGAATAAATCTTTTGCTTGATTTTCCAGCCCATAAGAACCGACGTTAGATCGCAATAATATCCTTCACAACTTTATGGGGAGCCTTAAAGAAAGCCAAGTAATGGGTAGGGAGATTAGCTAAAACCGAATTTATGAGGGTTACTCTACCCCCCATAGACAGATTTCTCCCATTCCAGTTGGACAATTTGTTCCTCAAGCAATTCAGAACCGGCTTCCAAAAAGAGCAGCGATGATGGTTTCCACCAACAGTGATTCCAAGAAAGCTAAACGGTAACTTTCCTGATTTGCAGTGAAGGAAATCTTTAGCAGCCACAATAAAATCAGGTTCTACTCAAATCCCATACAAGCAGCTTTTGGAGTAATTAATTTTAAGACCTGAAGTTAATTCGAAATCACAAAGAATAGCCTTGAAAGCCCAAATATTAGACGCTGAGCCGTCTCCTATAAGAAAAGTATCATCAGCGAATTGAAGCATACTCACGGTGGGTTGACCATCAATTTTGAATTGAGATAACAGATTACCGGCAACCGCTGATTTCACCAAAGTCGACAACCCCTCTGCGACAATTGCGAACAAGAACGGAGCAAGGGGATCGCCCTGCTTCAGCCCCCTGCCAACCCTAAAATCCTTCGAGGGACTACCATTGATGAGAATTGATACGTAACTATTGAAAACCGAACCACAGATCCATTTCATCCACTTAATACCGAACTCCATCTTAACAACCAAACCTTCTAGATAAAGCTAGTCCATGCAATCATAGGCTTTAGCAAAATCTACTTTGAAGAAGAGGCAATCCTTGTTGAATCTCTTAGTGAAGTCAGCTAGTTCGTTAGCCAACAGAACACCATCGTAGATATGCCGCTCCGGGATGAAAGCAGTTTGAGAGGGAGAAATAATTTTGTGAATAAACTTCCTGAGTCTGCAAGAAAGCATCTTGGATATCACCTCAAGAACACAACTGACAAGGCTAATAGACTTGTAATCTTCAAAATGTTGGGGACTTTTAGACTTAGGAACAAGCGAGATGAAGGAAGATGCGAATGTCTTCGGAAGGTAACCAGTATTGAAAAAATCCAGGATGCAGTTCAAAAAATCCTTGCCAACTATCTCCCAGCAGGACTTAATGAATTTAAATTTGAAACCGTCGACACCAGGGCACTTATTGCCATCACAACTGAAAACAGCAGCTTTAACATCTGCAAGGCAGAACCAAAAAGTTGTTTTAATAAAATCTAACAATTCAAACAAGAATTTCACCAAACATAAATTGCATGGACCAACTCATTTAAGTTTGTCAAACTCATCATCATCTACATCATCCTCTTTATCATCTATGTCGTCCACTTGAAGCTCATCACCCATGTCGTTCTCTTGAAGTTCTTCACCTACTTCATCCTCCTCACTTGAATCGTCCTCATAAAATTGGTCACTTAGGCTGTTGTTTTCATCAACATCTTCATTAATACCTTGCTGCATAAGAAAATGAAAAAACATCAACCAAGAAAACTCTCAGAAAAGTCTAAGTCACTAACTTTTTTAACAACAAATATATTATTAAGAAGATAAAACCCTACAACTAAGTCATCTAATCCAAAAAAGAAATGGAAGCCATGCAATCCCAATAACTAACCCAACAATTAAAATTATAAACAAATGTGACTTTATAATGTTAAATCCTTTGTTACGTTACATGGTTATTCCTTGCGTTGGATTATGTATGTAACATCCTAATTTTTCCATACACTAAATAATATATCTAGTTAGATTTGAGATTTTAACAATGCTAGTTATTAAAAATTAAATGTTGAAACTAACACTTATAATAATTAATTTATTAATTAATTACTTTTTATATTTATTACTTTTATTCTTCAATTTGAATATCATCGTTTCATTTTATAAACTAAACTTTGAAATTTAAATTGGTACTTAAAACCCTTAACTTTAAGTTAATTAATTATTCATATTATTATTATCATTATTGTTGTTCTTGTTTTGTTATTATTAATTGATTTTATTTTATTTGAATATTATCATTTTACTCTATAAACCAATTAATAAATAAAATAATCTTAAGACAATAAAAATATCAAATAACTATCCTTTTTACTATTTTTATTATTATTAATATTATTAACATTTTACTTTTTATAAAAGAAATATATATCTCATTTTCTATTAATATCCTACATAATATTATGTCATGAAATCAAGCTCCCATACCTTTGTCATAAATTATTTTCACAAAGTCATACTAGAACACCTAAAGCACTATTGATGAAAGATTAGTAAATATTTGATAGAGACATATTTACTAGCAAGAGTTGAAAAGTTGGAAGGTATGGGCAAAAGATGATAAATTATGTTATTTTAATATTTTACAACTAGTATAAATAGGGGTCTCTTCCACCCCATTTTCATTCATTCAATCACAAATCATCTTTCTTACTTCTTTACTTCTTTCCTTCTCTAATTTCTTCATATAGCAATATTAGTTTTAGTTATCGAAGTTCCCACGATATCGGTTCGTAACCTTTAGAGTATTTTGTGGTAAAAGTTCTTCTAAAGTTTCAAGGGAGTTTTATACGTCAAAGTTCTGCCCAAATCATTTTCATAAGTAATCGGTTCTTGGCAAAGATCGAAGACAACACTTGTGGACTTTCAACAACACTCAACAAAAGGTGGGGGCAAGATTTCGTATACGATTGGGACGGTTAGCGTAAAATAACTTAATATATATGTGTGTAGTGGTGACCTAAGCCCTACTAGCGATAAATAATTAAGGAGAGCCTATTCTCAAATAATGATTTTCACAAATCACTAGGCGAGGTTACGCCGGCCTTAATTAATTATCATAGGAATAATCTTTGACAATTTGGTATTGTATTGTGCTTGCATTATTCGGTTAATTTTATAATTGTTTATTTTATTTATACTTGAATGATTGTGATTGATAGATTAAGGAAATAATCGGTTAATGAGAGAAAAACATTGCTAGATATTAAGTAATTGATCCCCATTAACATAAGGAAAGTTGGATACAATGAGTAGTTATATTTGGTTGGGTTCTGGCTAAGGAAAGACTTGGTCGACTATGCCGTTTACAGTCCACCTCTCTTACCTGGGAAGTTAACCATACAATTACCCATTATACAAACTGAACTTATTATGTAAGGACAAAGATCAAATATGGCAAGACATTGGATGGATTTGGTACTCAACCTAAGTATCTAGATAATAAGTATAACTTGAAAAGTTGATACGATAATTCCCCATTATTAACTTAATACTTATGGCTAAGAGTTGCCACAAGATGAGTGAGTGATCATATAGACTTGCATTAAGGAATGTGTAAGTCCACCGCCGTGCGGTATGGGACGCACGAGGTTGATCAGTCGCCTGCAATCCCGACGGGGATTATTATCTATGCATGCTAGGCAAGACAAGGTTCTTGGCCTGAATTCTCAGGGACGATCGACTTATAACACCTAGGCTCCATGTGAAGTTAGGTGGCGTAGCTCTTGGTAATTGGGAGTACGTTGGTGGCATGTGGTCTAGTGATATCTGATCTTGGTAAATGGGATAGATATCATTGACAGCGTTTAGTGGCCTGAGTCAGCATATAGTTCAGGGATGCATTAGAATAAATAAAGTATATGTAATTGTGGGTATAAGATACGCTTGTTTGTATAAATATGGTTTCCATATATATTATTATTTTACACATTCATTCCCACTTTTAAACTTGTACATGAATCTTAGCCCTGTGTCATTTTTGTTTTGCATTTTGGATTATTTTATGACGATCAGACGATGAGCTCGAATCTTGCGTACTTCCCGACAACTCAGAAGGAAAGGATATGAAGTGACGTGGAGATGTGTTACTATAACATCTAGATTGGGAGCTGTTAGTGTTTTGTCAAACGCTAATCACATCCCTACTACTACAGTCAGTATAAGTGTCAGTCTTGTTGGACTTAGGAGGTCCCTTTTGGTATGCTTTCTTTTTGGTTTCCTTTCTGTACTTTTATTTTATGTTTTATCTATGTGGCAAGGCCGCTAGTCTTAACGGTGTCAAACTCTGTAAAATATATTTGAAGCATATGTATGTGAAACAGTATGTTTTTAAATAATTAAGTATTGTCCTTTAAAAATTTCAAATTTTTCTGTATTTTTATAAGGTTTCATTAGAATTCCACTAATGGGACATAGGCTGTCTCATTTAATGGTATCAGAGCTGGTCGATTCAGCTCGGACCGTAAGTGTCTAGAATTATACTGACTGTATCAAGTTGGATTCCAAACTGGATGATAACTTTTCTTCTGTGCATTGAGTCTTCATCTTGAGAGCCTTCTAGTATAATGGTCTAGGAAACTTATTTAGCACACTTTATTTTTCCTCCCCAACGGTCACAAACCCAACGGTAACGTAACGGACACTTCACAAAATTCACTTTATAAATACTTCACACCCATCCATTATTTTCATATCAATTCCTAAATATTTATCTATACCTTTCAAATGGCTAAATCCTTTCTTTTATTCATCACTCTTCTTGTCATTATTTTGTTTGTTATTGGTATCATCAAGCATGAAGAATTAGGTAAAGATTTCGTAGCAATAATGATAATTATAGTTTTACCACTATTAGTCTTAGCTTGGTTTACAAGTAGAGGTTTTTGAATGAGACATGGTCACGATTTTTGTAATCGTTG